GAGGGCAGGTTAATTGAAAAGACGGCCAGATCTGTGTGAGTGATTTTAATAAACTCAGGGTATTCCTGGGCTGTAGAATAGTTACATAGATTAAGAAGAGAGGGTTGTAAAAGGCAGCAGCTGAGTATCACCTTGAGGGTTGAACAGTAATTAACTTTATTTTTAATATAAGAAAATGATTTCATTTGAGAACTGGAAAATGCTAAGGATGTAGCTAGAGAGCAGTAATTATTTTACTGTCTCAAGACAATAGCTAGAGGGTATCAGAAAGTAGTAAATTAACAGTCTGCAGTCTAGCCTATGAAATAATCACACTGAAGAGGTACAAAACTGTGGACACTTGACTTATTCAAACAGAAAGGATAATCGGCTTGTCTGGATTGCTCAAGGGTTGGTATTTACGTAGGCAGGTAGTATTTCAGAGATTTTCTACAATAAGAACTTTAGGATTTGGTAATACTACTACTGTATTGTATACTTCTTCAAGTACATTAATTTGTGACTTTCCTAAAACCCTGCAGAAGAGAAAACGGTCTCTTAGGTTGATTTGCCTAAGTCATAAAACACACCTTACCTCTTCTGATTCTTAATCCAATGAGTCATTTTCAGTTCACCTTAATGCCTCTGGTTTTAATATGGACATCTGTCTCTCTATTGATAGTTGAGGTTTTGCCATGTTGGACAGGCTGGTCTCGAACTCCTGACCTCAAGTGAACCACGCGCCTTGGCCTCCCAAAGTGCTGGGATTACAGGTGTGAGCCACCATGCCTGGCTTAGTCCATACTTGGAAGATTTTGTTTATAGCTGCAACTGTCACTGATTCTACTTATGAGTATCTTATGATGTATTCTAGTATTGTTTTGTTTGTACACTTATATATATTACAAATTACTTTCATTTTGTTTCTCCTTTATGTTGTAGTTAGACTATTTTTTTGTAATTAAGTATATCATAAATTTGAATTTCATTTCATGTACTAAAGGGAGAGTTCTAAAATATTTGTTTATGGCCAGGCATGGTGGCTCATGCCTGTAATCCCAGTACTTTGGGAGGCCAAGGCAGGCGGATAAACTGAGGCCAGGAGTTCAAGACCAGCCTGGCCAACATGGCAAAACCCCATCTCTACTAAAAATAAAAAAAATTAGCCTGGCCTGGTGGCACGTGCCTATAATCCCAGCTACTCAGGAGGCTCAGGCAGGAGAATCACTTGAACCCAGGAGGCAGAGGTTGCAGTGAGCCAAGATCATGCCACTGCACTCCAGCCTGGGTGAAAGAGCGAGACAGACTCTATCTCAAAAATAAAAAATAAAAATAAATATCTGATTAATGTTTTTGGTTCTAGGATTTGCTTTCCCCCACTGAAAGCTAATAAATTATCCTGTTAGTAATGTTTCATGGCTGTTGGTAGAAAAGACAGTATTCTTGGGTCAGAGAAAGTCCTTGCTATGCTCAGTAATTTTATTTTCTTAAAAAATTATAGGGGTAGATTTTTAAATTTTCAATTAATACCTATTTTATAGAGGAAAAAACAGCATTAAGTGATTAAGTAACTTGAACAAGGTCTGCTCAGCTAGTAAGTGGCAGAACCAGGAATGGAAGTTTCTTTGAGCCCATCCTGTTACCCTCTATATACTAGGCTATTAGAATCCCTGTTTGTTGGGTTGAGAGATCTGTATATATCTTCAGATTGAGATTTTAGGCTGCGCGCAGTGGCTCACACCTGTAATCCCTAGCACTTTGGGAGGCCGAGTTAGGCAGGTCGATTGAGCCCAGGAGTTTGAGACCACGCTGAGCAACATAATGAAGCCCCGTCTCTACAAAAAATACAAAAATTAGCTGGATGTGATGGTGCGTGCCTGCATACCTGTGGTCCTAGCTACTTGGGGGGGCTGAGCTGGGAGGATCACTTGAGCCTAGGAAGTTGAGGCTATAGTGATCTGTGTTTGTGCCATTGCATTGTTGCCTGGGTGACAAAGTGAGACCCTGTCTCAAAAAAAAAAAAAAAGACTTAAATTTTGTGTTCTTTGTTCTGTATTTTAACTAATTTCTAGGTTGTTTTATATACCAATTTTTTTTTTTTTGTCTTTTTGAGACAGGGTCTTGCTCTCTCATCAAGTCTGTATTGCAGTGGTGCTATCACAGCTCACTGCAGCCTCAACCTCCCAAGCTCAAGCCACCCTCCCGCCTCAGCCTCTAGGGAGGACTACAGGCACATGCCACCAGCCCTGGCTAATTAAAAAAATTTTTTGTGTAGAGATGGGTTCTTCCTGTGTTACCCAGGCTAGTCTCAGAACTCCTGGGCTCAAATGATCCTCCCACCTCAGCCTCCCAAAGTGCTGGGATTACAGGCCTGATCATGGCCAGTATATAAATTACTGATGGAAATGTTAAAATGTTAAAATCTGCAGATTTTGTCCATTTTTCTATATAATTCTGACTTTTACATTTACATATTTCAAAGCCATATTTGAAAGCTGTCTATAGCTATATATAAAATATATAATTTTTTATAAGAAATAATTATATATTAAAAAATATATACAAAGCTCTATGTATATATGTATATACAAATATATACAAAGCTATATATAATTTACATATTTCAAAAGTATATACAAGTTCAGGAATTTTAATATTTTTGGTGAATTGCTTTCCTTATGATCATTCTATTTACTTATTTTGCTTTAAATAATGTGTATGTATTAGTATTATTAATGAGCTATTTTGGGAGTTGGTGTTTGTCTGATATTTCTTTCCCATAACTTTATTTTCAGTGTTCCTATTTGATTTTGTTGTAGGTATGTTTCTTAAGCATATAGCTATAGTTGGGGGGTTTTGTAAAAAATTTAGTCCTGTAGTCTCTGGGTTTTGTTTCGTTTTTGAGATGAACTCTTGCTGTGTTGCCCAGGATGGTCTCTTTGTTAGTCTGTTCTCACGCTCTTAATAAAGACATACCTTAGACTGAGCAATTTATAAAGGAAAGAGGTTTAATTGACTCACAGTTCCACATGGCTGGGGAGGCCTCACAATCTTGGAGGAAGATTAAGGAAAAGCAAAGGAATGTCTTACCCGGAGGCAGATAAGAGAGATGAGAGCCAAGCAGAAGGGGAAACCCCTTATGAAACCATCAGATCTCATGAGACTTATTCACTACTAAGAGAACAGAATGGTGGGAAACAACTGCATGATTCAGTTATCTCTCACACAGTCCTTCCCACAACACATGGGAATTATGAGAGCTACAGTACAAGATGAGATTTGGGTGGGGACACAGCCTAACCATGTCAGTCTCCAACTCCTGGGCTCAAGCAATCCTCCCACCTTGGCCTCCCAAGTCACTGGAACTACAGGTGCACATCACCATGCCAAGCAGGTCTCTGTCTTTTAAAAACTCTGTGCATCTGTAGCAAATTTTAATTCACAAAGGTTACTTTTCAGTAGTTACTTGTTACTGTAGTTGAAGTAAGGGGAGCCTAAGCAACATTTTATGACCTGGTCTCTACAAAAAAAAGTTACAAAAACTTAGCCACGCATGTTGGTTTGTGCCTGCAGTAGTCTCAGCTACTTGGGAGGCTGAGGTGGGAAGATTGTTTGAACCCAGGAGTTCAAGGCTGCAGTAAGCCATGTTCATGCCACTGCACTCCAGCCTGGGTGACAGAGTAAGACTCTCAAAAATAATTATCTGGAGATACTAATTTGTTGAGAATTTGAGCTTTGTTTCTGTATTTTGAGTGTAATACAAGTTCAAAGTGTAGTATGTTTCTCAGAGCCAACATGGTGCTGATGGAGTGAGCTATTTGTGCATTTTAAACTGAAACTCTGTCAATGTTAGCCCTTTATAAGCTTTGCATCTCTAAAGCACTTAAGACTGTCTTAGAAAGGCATGTATTAGAGTACATCCCTTGGTTTGGAATAAAAAGGATTATTAGAGCATATCCCTTGGTTTGGAATAAAAAGGATTATTAGAGCACATCCCTTGGTTTGTAATAAAAAGGACAAAGTCTTTCAGAGTTAAATTTAAAGCAGAAGAAATTGAGATGTTTTTACTTTAAGGAGAAGTTGTAAAAAAAATACTGATTTGGAATCTCTGTAAGTGACTTCTGTATTTTTGTAGACCCACCTAGGCTGTGTAGAATACAATGTGGTTAGAATCTTTTAAACTAAAATAAGCCAGTATATTGTTTATTAAACTTTCTAGGGAAATGAGCAGAATACTCTGAATATTCCCTTTTCTTTCATTATTTTTTTTATCTTAAAAAGGAGCAAATTGCATGGATGACTTGAAGTGGCAAGTTGGTATTTATTATTTGAATAAACAAAAATTTTTTGGACATAGTGTGAAAATCCTTATTTAAGTTATTAGGGCAGAATTGTCAATTTTTAAAATAATCTCAATGGCAAAGTAGAGCTGTGAAGAAAAAGTTAGGAATAATAACTGTGTTCAAGATGAAAGATGAAGAACAGCTGTAAAGATTCATTGAAGGCTAAAGATCTACCCAAAACCAAGGTTCCACCAAGGGAAGAATTCAAGAACAGACAAGGTAGTTTTTCTATAATAGGAGGAATAAATGGGATAAACTTACCAAGGTAAGCTTACCAAGCACAAGCCTCCTAGATATTAGGCTTATCTGTACAGGGCTTTATACAGGCAGATAAGTACTATATTTTCTTAAATTGATTTCTAAGGGTTGTTATGATTAATAAAAACCTCTTACAGCTATATACTAAAAAGTGGTCCAAGTTAGGAAGATCGTTAAGCCCCTGGACCTGCTGTGATTGAACTTTTATTTTTTAGTCTCAGCTTTTCCTTACCAGCTCATTACTCTTCATGTTTTTTCCATCTAAAGAAAGCCCACCTTTAACCTGCAGAAAACACTGGTAATGCCTTTGGAGAAGATAACAGGCATTTCTTGCCCCCAAAGTAGTGAAAGGCAGTGTGTATTGTCAGAATGCACCCCCTCCACCCTCCTGTTACCCACGCCGGCTCTTATTCTGTGCAGTGTGGCTTCCTGTTGTGGTGCATGGCCCCAAGCCCTTCTAATGGGGCTGAACTGCTCTACAAGCGCATCATCCGTCCTTTCTTCCTGAAGCATGAGTCCCAGCTGGACAGTGTGGTCAAGGACCTAAAAGACAAAGCCAAGGAGACTGCAGATGCCATCACTAAAGAAGGTAAGACTGAGGAACAACATGGCTCCACATGTGAGAGATGTGATACACTAGGCTCAAAGAACAGGCTTCCTGGCCTTCTTGTCTCATCAGCATCCCTCAGCCAAATGCCAACAGCATCCCTCAGCCAAATGCCAACATTACTCTGGGATTTCTTTACAAAGTCTTTGCCTATTGCCCTTCACTTTTCCCAAGACACTTCCTCCATGCCACATTTAATGAGCATTCAGTCAGAACATTAGGAAAAATGAGTTTCCTTGGTAGCCAGCAATTTTAGAGAATCATCTATATTCACATTCATGTGCATCTTTTCTAATTGTTTATTTAATTTTTTTTGCATTATACTTTTTAATTGCATAGGTAGTTTTAAATAAATGGAGAAAGCACCTTCCAGAAACTATACTAGCAGGAAAAATTCCATCAAGCATTTACATAAATCTCTGTAATTTTACAAAAAATTCTTGATCTTTACTTGAACTGTACATAAAGGGAAAAGAGCCCCTCAGGTTGGTGTTCTCTCTGCTTGCAGAAGCAAACTAAAGGACCTGAAACTAGAGGCAAGCCTGAGATACTAAGAAGCGGGGAGGAGAAATGATAAAGAGCCATTCGTGAATTCCCTGTCTCTTCTAAGACACTTGTCTAATCACCCTAACATAATAAATATTTAGGTCAAAGTACCACTCTTTAGAAAAAAGTACAACCTCAAAAGCTGTAGTTCTGAATTACAGTAACATCTTGAATACCTTGGACTGCTGGATGCCAAAAGACAAAACTTAGGGTTATCTGAGGTTTGAACAGATAAATACTTGAGAATTCTCTAGGACTGTACACTTTCTGTTCTGGCTTTCTGAATGAAGCACAGGCAGGCTTCTCTGTTATCCTCCAAGCAGTTTAATAGTCAAGGAAAAGGGCAACAGTATTGGATCACTCCTTAGACACTAACCAGCTAAGGTAAGAGTTCATTGGCCAAAGTCTCCTCCCTAGAATGGTGTGCAACAAGCAGAGAGGACATGTTGCTGCAGGGGAAAGGGAAGCCCTCATACCCACAGTCACTATAAACATCCAGTAGACAGGAAGATGGCTTCAGGCAATGGCTGGATGAAAGTGGATTTGAGATACCCAGGTCTAGAATGAAGTCTTCTACAGGGTCTTCCTTCACTCAGACAATGAATTCTGGGTGATCATTCTCTGAGAGGCTGAGAGGTGCTTCCTTGATTTTCACTACCACATTAGCTTGGCCCTCTGTCTCAGACTACAGGCTTGGCATATATGTAGTCAAAATGAATGAGTTCATTAGCAGCTTTGAGCCTGGCTGATAATGCCTCCACCGACAGAGAAAGGGAAGCTGCTTAGGTGGGTCTTTCTGAGTGGACCTCTGGGAGCTGCTCCAGGCTGGCAGACTCTGGGGAAGGACATCTGAAGAACACTACTGGGTCCAAGTTGTCCAGAATACCCAACAGGATATCATACTGGAACTGAGAAGATATTTGTTTACTTTCAACCCCACCAAAACTAACTTCTAGCCTCATCTGCCTAGTTAGGGATATCAAGCATCAAATAGATGGAATTAACTTGGCTTCCGCCTCCTCTTCAGTAACCAGGGCAACCATGCCTAAGTGCTATCTTCACTCACGGTTCTCAACTACAGTCCATGCATTTTCTCTCATAAAAGCTGATTTTCTAGTATATGTTTTTGGTTCTGTTCTAAATCTACCACTTGCTGTTTCAGCTCACTCATTTGAGCTTGCTGTCTCTGGCAGTCTGAGCTGCTACCCTGTTTTTCAGTTTCCTCCTCAGCATCTTCTCCTTGGGTCTCCCACGCCCACACCACTCACCATCTCCTGGCTGGCTCCTCTCTGGGCTGGCACCATGAGCGGCAGGGTTTAGCTGGCCAGGGCTGTAGTAGCAGGCTGACTAGACAGAAGCAGTAGTTTGGGGGCCCTGACGGCTAGCCTAATTCAGTTCGTTCAGTATGCTGTTCAATTTTTGTTATGGGTACAAAAGAATGTCCTCTCTCAGCTCTCCTGATTCATTCACTCAATAAGTATTTACTTACTGAGGTGTTTAATACGTGCCAAGCACGTTCCTAACACAGGCAGTGAACCAGCAAATCAGAGACCATACTCTCCATGAATTCATGAAACTTACAGTCTTGTTGAGAGATGGCCAGTAAAATTGAAAATTGGATGATATATTTAGCAGACGATATTGGGAAAAAATAAAGCAAGTAGAAAGATAGGGAGGGCCAAGGACTGGAGGGATGGTTAAGATTTTAAATAGAGACATTTAGGAAATCTATACCAGAAGGCTCTATTGAATCAGACTCGAAAGTAGTAAAGGAATCAGGGACACTGACTCAGCCTGTAATCTCAACATTTGGGAGGCCAAGGCAGGAAGATCACTTGAGGCCAGGAGTTTGAGACCAGCTCATTTGTGATGGGTTTCCTATGGAAACCTGCTCTCTAGAAAAATTAAAAAATTAACCAGGCATTGTGATGCACGCCTGTGGTCCCAGCTACGCAGGAGGCTGAGGTAGGAGGATCACTTGGGCCCAGGAGGTCAAGGCTACAAGTGAGCCATGCCACTCTAGCCTGGGTGACAAAGCAAAACCCTTTCTCCCTAAAAAATAAAAGAGAGAGAAAATGGCAAAGGAAGGAACCATGGGGAATCACACTCCAGAAAGAGCTGCATGTGTAGAAGTCGATTGAGGTGGGAGCAACAGAAGTGATCTAGAGGGGTGCAGGAGATGAGGTGAGAAAGGCTGGGGGTGGAGGCTGGAAGACAGATCACATAAGGCCTTATAGGCCATTGTAAAAATTTTGGCTTCTACTCTATGTGGAGGTGTTGGAAAATTTTAACAGAGGACTGAAATGATCTGTTCTGTTCTGTGTTTTAACAAGACGCCTGTGGCCACTATATTAGGAACAGACTGAATGCGGGTAAGGGAGGAAACTGGGAGAACAGTTAAAAGGTTCCTACAGGGACCTGACTAAAGGTGATAATGGTGGCTTGGTTCCTTCTGTAGCAGCAGGGGGTAAGAAGTAGCATATTCTTGATATATTTCAAAGGTAGAACTACTGGGATTTGCTTATGGATTGGGCATAGGTCTGAGGGGTGAAGGACAAGCTTTTTAGCCTGAACAAATGGAAGGATAAAATTGCCACTGAGCTGGAGAAGACTGGGTAGAACAGGTTTTTTAGGGGCAGGGGGTTGTGGGGAGAGATGTGGAATTCAGTCCTGGACATTCACTTGAGATGTCTGTTAGATAACTACAAGGATTAGTCAAATAGCTGGTTGGATATAGGTGTCAAGAGTTCAGGAAACAGGTCTGGACTGGAGATATAAATTTGGGGGCCACAAGCTTATACATATTAAGCATAAGACTGGATGAGATCATGAAGATAGTGTAGTTAGGAAAGAGGAGGTCCAAAGACTGAACCCTGGGGAGTCTAATGTGTAGAGACTGAAGAAATGAGAAGCAACCAGCAAAGCAGACTGATAAGGAGTGGTCAGTTGAGGTAGCAAGAAAACCATGAGCATGGTATCCTTGGGCCAAGAGTAGAAAGTATGTTTCAGAGAGGACAAGTGATCCATCATGTCGCATGCTGCTGACAGATCAAGAAAGATAAGGACTGAGAACTGAGCAGATTTAGCAATGAGGAAGGTACTAGTAATTTTGATGACACAGATTTTGTGGAGTGGTAGCAAACTCCTGATTGCAATGGATTTGAGCAAATGACAGAAAAGAGTTGAGAAAATACAGATTTCTTTTTAGAAATTTCCTGCAAAGGAGAGCAGAAGAATGGAGCTGTAACTGGAAGAAGGAATTAGGGTCCTGAAATTTTAAAAGTTTTTTTTGTTAAGGTAGGAGAAACAAAGCCTGTTTGAAAACTAATGGGAATAATTCAACAGAGCAAGAAATGATGAGAGGAGTGAGGATGAATTGCTGGAGCTCTGTCCTTGACCAGTGAAGGATCTAGTAAACAGTAGAGGGATTGGTCAGAGGAGCTGGAAGTTTATGATAACAGTAGGGAAATCAAGGTTTATCACATGTGCTGTACGTGAGCACATGTGATATGGTAGCCTACAGAAGTGATTTTCTGATTGCTTCAAATTTCTCAGTAAAGTAGGAAGAAAGGCCAATTGAGAGAGGATGGGGAAGGAGACTATGGAAAGAGAAGGTATGAAATAGTTGGGAAGGAGAGAGCCTGCTCAACTTTTTCTGTAAAAGGCCAGATAACATGTTTTAAATTTTGTGGGCCATCAGGTCTCTGTTGCAGCTACTGTCCTCTGCCATTGTAGTGTGAAAGCAGCCATGGACAACACATAAGCGAGTGTGGCTGCCGTGTGCTGGCCCCTCTAGGACAGTGGGAGAGTAAATGGACTGGGACAATGTCCTGTGACTGCCAGGCAGTGTTAAAGGCATGCTTGAGATTTGTTTGTGTTCATGAGTTTATAGTGAAGCCAGTTCTTGTGTGTGTTTTCCTCCAGCCATACTCACCTACATGAGTATAGCTGCTGAGTAGGTGAAGTTGTGTCAAGGTTGTGATTTCCAACAAGAACTATGAAGTCAGCATGGGACTGTGGAGTGATTAATGCTTGACAATGGAATTTAACCTGAGTAAGGTGGGAAGTGGTGGAGGAAGAACTCTGTATCAGGATAATAGTGGGAATACTCCATCATCATCTACAATGAGCAAAAAAAGGGGGGTTGGGGAGTGCACTACAAAGTTAAAAGGTGACAGTGGGAGAATGGGATGCTTAATACAAGATTATGGATGGACTACAGTATTGGTAGTAACAAGGATCCTGGGAGTCAGTGTCATATGTAGGGTGGAATATAAAGGTTATTGGAGGGGAGGGTCTAAGAGGTCAGGATATTAGATCATGTATGTCTACATGGATATTAAAATCATTATTAAAATAGGAGTAGTAGGGCAGGTGCAGTGGCTCATGCCTGTAATCCCAGCACTTTGAGAGCTGAGGTGGGTGGATTGCTTGAGCTCAGGAGTTTGAGACCAACCTGGGCAGCATGGTGAAACCCAACCTCTACAAAAAATAAAAAATTAGCCAAATGTGGTGGTGCACACCCATAGTCCCAGCTACTCAGGAAGCTAAGGTGGGAGGATCACCTGAGCCTGGGAGGTTGAGGCTGCAGTGAGTTGAGATGGCATCACTGCACTCCAGCCTGGGTGACAGAGTGAGACCCTGTCTCTACCAATCAATCAATAAAATAGGAGTAGTGTTAGAAAGGAACATTTATAGGAGCTAAAATCTTCAAGAAATAGGTAGGATAGACCAAGAGTCAGGGATGACAGGGAAAAGGAAGGCTAATGGATGATATAATCTGATGACATGAGATTCTGGGAGTAAAGAAACAGCCACCACTTGAGAAAGCAATGTCCTCAAGGCACAGCCAGATTCTCTAAGAGCAAGAAAGAAAAGGAAACATTTGGAGGAATGGGTGAGGATATAGATTTTGCCGATGATGGGTCTTGAGTTCCAAGAGACTCAAGGGTTTTAGAAATTGGAGAAAGGTGGGCAGTGGAAACAGAATACGTTTTTGTTTGTTTGTTTTTAGAGCACTGTGGTAGTTAGACGTGGGAGTTGTGAGGTGGCCTGACCACTGGGGAAGTAAAATCCTAAGACAGTTTTCCAGCAACACTAATGCCCCAGAGGTGATATGTTCCCCATTTCTCCCTCACAGACCTCTCTCCTCTGGACTCGTTTCTGGGCATACATATCCAGTCTACCTCAGTATGTTTTTCTGCAGTTTTAGGTGTTTTCTAACTTGTAGCCTTAACTTCCTCCCACTTTAGGACTGCCAGCTTTTTTTCTTTTTTTTGAGACAGAGTCTCACTCTGTTGCCCAGGCTGGAGTGCAGTGGCACAATCTCCACTCAGCAGCCTCTGCCTTCCAGGTTCAAGGGATTCTCCTGCCTCAGCCTCCCAAGTAGCTGCGATTACAGGCCCCCGCCACCATGCCTAGCTGATTTTTGTATTTTTAGTAGAGACAGGGTTATGCCATGTCGTCCAGGCTGGTTTCAAACTCCTGGCCTCAAGCGATCCACCCACCTCAGCCTCCCAAAGTATTGGGATTACAGACATAAGCCACCATGCCCACCAGGATTGCCAGCCTCTTTTTAAGAGCTATCTTTTCTTCTCCCTTCTCTTAGCCTAACCAGCAGCCTATGGTGATGTCACTTCTGTCTACTTAACTCACATTTCTTAGCCTCTTGGTTCCCTTAGATATCAGTACTTAAAATCCAATCTTATTTTGATTTGAAACATCCCTAAACAGGGGCATGAGAATTAAAATAAGAGAGGAGGAATTTTCTCAAAGCTTTTGGATTCACTAGGAATTTTTACAAAGAGTTAGTTAAGGGAAGGACTACAGTTTCTCCTTTGTTGTGAACTTGGTTCAGCAATTTTAATTGAGTGAAGGGAGAGCAGCTGTCAGGCAGCTGGTGGACAAAAGGGGACTACTTGGCTTTCATCACTAAGACCTGGGGATCCATCAAGAACAGCTGCAGATTGTAAAATCTCACAGGAGGTCCTGGAGGCTTCTAGACAACCCCTTTCCCCTCCACCTCACACACTGTACTGGTTCTTATAGCACATTCCCAGCCACTTGGTAATTAGAAAGTGGAAGGCTTGGTCTCCTGCAGATGTAAGAAAATAGTTTCTTTTTCTATAGAGACAGGCTTTCACTGCGTTTGGCCAGGGTGTTCTCAAACTCCTGGTTTCAAGCAATACTCCTACCTCAGCCTCAAGCCATCACACTTGGACAGAATATTTTCTTGATGAATGTAGTGTCTTGTCACCAACTCAAAGACTTAGAGCAAACTCTTCGCATCATAGGAGAGAATGGTACACAGAGTATAAATACAGATTAAAAAAAAATTTAGTGTAACAATTTTTATTTTTAGAGACAAGAGTTTTGCTCTTCCTGCCTAGGTTAGAGTGCAATGGTGCGATCTTGGCTCACTGTAACCTCCGTCTCCCAGGTTCAAGTGATTCTCCTGCCTCAGCCTCCCGAGTAGCTGGGATTATAGGCATGTACCACCATGCCCAGTTAATTTTGTATTTTTAGTAGAGATGGGGTTTCTCCATATTGGTCAGGGTGGTCTCGAACTCCTGACCTCAGGTGATCTGCCTGGCTCAGCCTCCTGAAGTGCTGGGATTACAGGCGTGAGCCACTGTGTCCAGCCCGAGCAATTTATATAGCATTCATGTTACATTAGGTTTTGTTTTTTTTTATTTTTGAGACAGAGTCCCGCTCTGTCACCCAGGCTGGAGTGCAGTGGTGCGATCTCAACTTACTGCAACCTCTGCCTCCCGGGTTCAAGCAATTCTCTGTCTCAGTCTCCTGAGTAGCTGGGATTACAGGCATCCACCGCCACATCCAGCTAATTTTTTTGTATTTTTAGTAGACATGGGTTCACCATCTTGGCCAGGCTGATCCTGAACTCCTGACCTTGTGATCCACCCGCCTCAGCCTCCCAAAGTGCTGGGATTACAGGCATGAGTCAGTCATTATGCCTGACTGAGATTTAAAGTATATGGAAGCACATAGGTTATATGGAAATACTATGTATTCCATTCAATTTAAGGGCTTGAGCACTCACAGATTTTGGCATCTGTAGGAGTCCTAGAACTAATCCCCTCTCCCCCACACATATACATCAAAGGATGACTTATTTATAGTGCTGGGAAGGAATGAGGACTTTTCTCTGATTTTTGTCACCATGGGATAGTTGTTATCAGATTGATAATATATTGATAAGTGAAATCTTACAGGCAAGCACACAGATACAAACTAGAATTTGAACACTACTCTGAAGGAATTTCTGCTTCTTTTTTTTTTTTTTTTTTTTTTTTTTTTTTT